GTCGAGCTGGTCGTGCACCGCGCCGAAGTATAGCAGCTTCATGACCACGGCGTGCTCGCCGATGCCAACGTCGGACGACTGCAGCTTCACGTCGACGAGGAAATGCGCGCGCCGCTGCTCGGGGTCTGGAAGTGCTCTGAAGTTGAGAAAAAAACAACGACGCGCGCGGGCCGTTCAAAGGCCAGTCCTCCCAGCTGGACTCCTGCATGGCCTCCACGGCGGCGCGGAAGTCCCGGCGTCGGATCCCATAGGGCGTCCTCGAGATCGCCAGCACTCGCGCGGCAGGCCCCTCCTGCCCACCACTCGGGCGGCCAGCCCAGCCCAGAGCCGACAGCCGGGACATCGCGTCGCCCAGCCTGACCTTCAGCCCACCCGACTCCGAGAAGACGTCCTTCACCAGAGAGTCCAGCTCCGGGTTCCCGATCTTCTCCAGCTGCTCCTTCAGCCAGGCGTCGTTTTTCGCTTCGGAACGGAGAGCCCGCTGGGCACGCCCCACCAGCCGCCGCGCCTTCTCGACGTCGTCCTCGGCACCCCTCAGCGGCAGCGGCTGCGACACTGCGTCCCCGAGCGAGCCCCTGAGGGCCGACCGCCTCTCGTCGGCGCACCGCGCCCAACGGTCCTCGGCCACCCACTCCACGAGGACCGACGCGCCGCCGACGAGGGCGATCCCCTGGGCCCCGCAGGACACCAGCGGCTCCTCCGTCTCCACGCCGAGGTCGAAGCCCTTCGTCGGGTCGGCGACGAGCCAGGCTCCGGGCGCGGCCGACTCCGCCGGCGGCGGCAGTCGGGGCCGCAGGCCTCGTGAGGCCGCACCCGGGGCAGGGCGGGCCCCGCCGCCCCGGCCTCATCGCCCACGGCGTCATGGTCAGGCGGCGTCGCCGTGCCACCGACGGCGCCCGCGTCGCCAACTTCGACCGCCTGCTTGCCGCGCAGCCGTCTGGCAGGCACGACGGCCGCAGGGGACCCCTCGACCAGAGACTCGCTGACGCCCAGCTTGGAGAGGTAGTCCTCGCCACGATGCATCAGCTCGAGCACTCGCGCGGCAGGGATGTCTCCGTCCGCCGTCCTCCCATCGTAGAAGAGGTAGGCGTCATCCTCCGCGACGGCCGCTGGGAGCACTCGGCCGACTGGAATGCCAAGGACGTCCGAGTCATAGATCTCGAAATCCGGCGTCGCGATGACCCAGCAGACTCGTCTCTTCGCGATGCACCAGATCAACAGACGCTCATGGTACAGCCCGTCGCCGCGGTAGCGCACCAGCACACGATCTCCTGGCCGAAGGGCATAAAGCGCCAGTCGAGAGAGCGGCATGAGCACGGATCCGCTCCTGCGCTGCACGGCGCGTAGCGATCGGCAGGCTGCTCGCCTCCGCCGCGGGGCGCGGGGGCGCACACTCGGCACCGCCTGGCGGCTCCCGAGCTTGCCTCCGCTCCAGGGCGAGGTAGACGTAGCACGCGCCCGCACCGCACGCCGCGCCCAACAGCCCCGCGGCCGTCAGGGCCAGCACGCCCAGTCCCCGGCTGGCCGGCCGGGCAGTCGCAGTTCCCGCACGTCACTGGCGGGCAGGTCAGCACTGGCGTGGCACAGTTGAGCTCGGGACAGCGGCTCGGCGATGGACAGACCAACCACGGGCACGGTGGGCAGGGTTCTCGCGTCTGTGACAGCACAACCGCGGCGGGCGGAAAGATATCGCGGACGATCTGAAAGATGTCTCGCACCTGATTCATCCACAAGCGACTTGAGCATAGATATATATATATATATGTGTGTATATATATATGTATATATATGGCACCGTGCGACGGTGGCGAAACAGCTGGACTGATTGCAGGATGCCCGTTCGCAGAACTATAATACATTCACATTCACACATACATGTACACACATATGCATATACATGTACATATACATATACGTACACGTATACATGCACATGTACATATGCATATACAATGTCATACGCGTATGCATGTCACTGCAAATAGACAGGTACAATTACACGATTCCAATACATATACATGCACATAGACATATACAGATACATATACGCATACATATACATGTACATACATACATACATACATACATACATACATACATACATACATGCATGCATACCTACATACATACATGCATGTACACACATTTACATATTCATATGTGCATGTACATATGCATATATAACTCTGTATACATACACACGCGCGTACATAGACGTATACAAATAAATATGCAGATACGTATGCATAATCAATGCATAGTGATATGCATGTACAATGATGTATATGCAAAAATATATACGCATATGCATAAACATATACATAGATGTGTACATCTACATCTACATACACATCTACATGTACATAGTAATCAATATTTACATATACATGCATCCATACATATACACATACATGTGCATAACAACATACAAATGCAAATACAAAACCATGCACAACAGCATAAGCATAGACATATAAATATACATATGCATGTACATATACCTGCAGATGATATGCAAATACATGGACATACATATACATAGACCTGTGCATGTGCAAATACACATACATATAAGTATATCTAAACATACACATGTACACACACCGACATATACATATACATATACAAATACATATGCCTAAACATATACATATGGAGGTATGTACGCATATGCAGATGCACAGACATATGCATATACATGTCCATGTACATGTACATATACGTATACATAGACATGCCCATGTACGTAGTTATAGACACATGCACACGTACAGGGACACATACATATTCATATACATATGCATATACAAAGCCATAGACACATACATATAAACATGCATATACGTACGTGTACCTATAAATACGCATAGACATATGCATATGCAGATGCATATACATATACAAATACAGCTACATATGCATACACCTACACAAATAAAGAAATATACAAATACGTGTTCATACGCATAAACATGTACATCTATGTATACAGACATATACATACACATGTGCATGTACATGTACATATACATATGCAGATAAACATACATATACATACACGCAAATATCCAAAATTACATCTGAAAAGTATATATATATATAGAGATATAAACGCATGCACATACACATATACATCTACAACGAGAATATGTGTATGCATACCCACTTACCTATACAAAAAGTCATACACATATGCATCTACATATACGTCTATGTACACGCGTACATCTACACATACATCTGCGACTATAAAACAGATACATGTGCATATAAATACAATGTATGCATATACATGCTCATATGCATATTTGTGTGTGCAAATATACAGACAAACACATATACGTACACCGAGACATATGCATGGACATATACATATACATGTGCATAGACATGTAAGTTTATCGATGAATATATGTCTAGACATATACATATACGTATGTTTGCATGCACACGCAAAGAATCATGCACGTACGCGGTATATAGGCTTGAATACAATCGTGTATACACATACACATCTCCATCCGTGTATAGATACATACGAACATGCATACATGAATAGATACATGCATGCATGCATGCACGCACACATACATACGCACTGTTTGACCGTCACCTTGCTACTTGGTTCACCGGTTCGATGTATGATTTGAAACGGCTATGTCGCGCGGCCGTTTGGGAGATTCGAGGGCAGAGTACCAGGGCATGTGAGGAGGCCTCTTGGGGTCGTTTGGGGGCCTGCTGGGGCCTCTGTTGGCCTCTTGGGAGCCTCTTGGAGCCTCTTGGCGTCCTGCTGGCAGTCTCGCAGAACTCGAAATCTCAATTCAGGTTCCCCCTCTTGGACCCCTTTGGGGGCTGGCCCTCCGAAGGCCCTCTTGGGCCGATTTGGGCGCTGCTTGGGCCGTCTGGGGACTGTTGGCGCGTCTCGGAGCCCTCTTGGGCCGTCTTGGACGCCGTGTAGGCCGAAAAGTCGCAGATGATGTTAACAATAATATGCGTTTTCCTCTGGGCATGGGGCGACTTGTGCCTCTTGGAGCTCTCTTGGGGGGGCTGTTGGATGCCTTTGGAGCGTCTTGGAGGCCTTTCGGGCCGTCTGAAGGCCATCTGGAGCGTCTTGGACCGATCGCTCGACGAATCGGGGCACTCTGGGACCGTCTGAAAGTCGTCTTGGAGCCCCCTTTGGCCCTTTTCGGGCCCCTCCTAGGGCACTCTGGGACCGCATTGGGCCATTCAGGGGCGCTCCGGACTCACCAGGACCGCTGGGCCCCAAATCAAGGCAGATCGTTTTTCTGTGCACATAGGTACTCATGATACTAGCACAGCGATGTCTGTCTATATGTACCCATGTGAAAGCATAGATACAAACAAATAAACAAACAAATGTGTATGGATGTTGAGATGTTCCCCAAGCAATGATTGCACATAGGCGTTATTACACCTGTCGCAAGGAACTGGCACAGCCCGTCGGTATGGCGGCTATGTGGTCGCCGTCGACGCCCCGTCGCCGCCTCGTCGCCGCCCGTCGTCTGGGCCTGCCCGTCGGTCTGGCGGCTATGTGCTCAGGCCTGATTCTTAGAAGGAGAAACTCGGTAAGGGCTTCACGACTTCTTCTGTTTCTCGGCTCGAGCTGGAGCTGCCCCGCTTTGTTCCAGATTCCTCCTCTGGAGATATATATGGATTTATACAGGGTTACCTGGGTTTTCATAAGGACCCATCCAGATTGACCTCGATCCGTCTAGCTTAACCCCACAAGTCGTTTGGAGAAAAGTCGTCAAGCCCTGAGGGAAAAACTGCACAAGGCAAACTGTCGGAGCTCCGCGCGGATCTCTTGGATTGACGATGGACCCCCCCTGGCGCGCGGAGGGCACCAGGGAAGGCACCGAAGTCGCCGCCAGCTGAGTCCACGGCAGATCCAAGAGGGAGAACCGCGCGGACCTCAAAAAAGAGGTTGTGCTTCTGCAGGTGTTCCTTCCTCGAGGTCTGCTTCTGCCCCTGGGTCCGTCCTTGCCGGATGAGGTCCAGCTTCTGCGCTTCCGCGGCTGCCGCGGGGTCAAGACCTGGCAAAGGCCACAGTCAGCGCGACCCAGAGGGCACGTGCCCCGAATCAATCGCCCTACGACAAATGCACACGTCTGATGAATGCCGAGATGATGCCATCAATCCTCCTCCTCGTTATCCGACGCCTCCTCCTTCTCCTCCTCCTTCTCCTCGTCGTCGTCCCCCTCTCTCCTCAGCATCATCCTATTGCGCCTCTTACAGCTGGGTAGTCCTTCCTCCTTCCTCCTATTCTGCCTCCTGCACCTCCTCCACTTTCTCATACGCCTCCTCATCATCTCTCGTCATGCTCCTCATGGTTGCCCCCATCATTATTATCCTCCTTTGATTCATGTTCTGAGCTCACTATCTGGAAAGGCAGTTGCAGTTATATGTCCAACCATCCTCTGTTGTCGGGTCCTCGTTTTGAAGAGACAGCACCCCGCGTCCTTCCCACTCCCACCGCCCCCTTCCCCCTTCTCCCATCCTCGCCTACCCTCCGAATGTCCATGTCGGCACACCACTCACACGTTTCATTATAGCCCTATGGGGAGCGCCACCGATGGCTCCAGTGGCACGGTCCAAAGTCGGCTCCGCGCCCATTACGGCACACCCCTGAAACGTAACGTGACCCCATAGGAAGAGCTACACCGAGTGAGAGTCCACATGTGGCTCCCCAACCATTCCGGCACACCCCTCACACGCCTCGTGGCCCCACAGGGAGCTGCACCGAAGCAGGGTCCACATGCGGCTCCCCGCCCATGTCAGCACACCCCTCACACGCATCGCGGCCCCATAGGGAGCTCTACCAAGGGAGGGTCCACATGCGGCTCCCCGCACATTTCGGCACACCCCTCGCACGTATCGTGGCCCCTTAGGGAGCTTCACCGGAGGCTCCAAGGGGAGGGTCCACATGCGGCTCCCCGCCCATTTCGAAGGCCCAGTGGGAGAATCCACATCCGACTCCCCGCCCATTTCGGCGCACCCCTCACACTCATCGCGGCTCCATAGGGAGCGCGACTGAAAGCCCTCATGGGAGGAACCACATGCGGCTCCCCGCCCGTTTCGGCACACCACTCACACGTTTCGTGGCCATACAGGGAACGCGACACAAGACGATTCTCACAACGGCGCCACCCACAACTGCATATGGTTGGGACCTTTGCCAAGATAAATTGAGTACGGGCGTGAAGGCATGAATAGCGCGGCATTTGCAGCAGTGCCTATCCTCAGCCATTTGCCTCAGGGACCTTGCAAAAGGCCACGCATGCAGAGGCGTACATCTGAGCGTTGAGCCTGGGAAAAAACATTGCACCCATACCGACGGCTCGGGCGGCCAAGTGGATCACGAACTCAACAGGAAGCTCTTGCTTCTGTCCCCCCCTTCGGATCCATCCACTGTTTGCCCACAGTATTCCTCCTTCACACCTTCCCCGCCTCATCGTCCTATATGTCAGCCTTCATGAAGCCATTACAGTCATCCCCCGTTTCGTAAGGTCAGACATGTAAATGAGGGAGGGTGGGAGAGGGGGAGGGTGAAGGTGCAGGAGTAGGAAGCAATCAAACAGGCACACAGTTGTTCAACGGAAATGTGTCGTATTACAAACTCATGCTCGAAAAGAAGACTATACACTCCTTGCCAGCAGGATATGTGCGTCATGACCTCCGCTCAAAAATAACTGCCCCGATTATCTCCACTTCGTACCAAGAAACGCTGTGGCATCACCCTGTTCTGCGGAACGCTGCGGCATGAATACCTCCGAAGACATGAGATGCCTTGTTTTTCCAAAACGCGGTCCCCGAAAATCCCGATCCCAAGGGCTGGTGTTCGATCCTGGGCATTTTGAAGGACTACCCCGCGGCCCAGCGAGGGCCCCCCACTGGACGAAAATTGCGAAACACCTTCGCCCGAATTCGTTCATGACATTGCACATCTAAGTGTGTTCCACGGAACGCTGTGACACGAATCCCTCCACTCATTTCCAAAGTCTTCAACCAAGCATCGGTATCAGACCATTTAGATCGCAGTCTCCCTGCATGGCTGCCTGCGGTGGGATCCCTCGCCTTCCAGATGCGTTCTGGCTATTACTGGCTGCACTTTCCATTCCCTGATGTCGTATTTTCTTCACAGACTCAGTATGCTTGATACGTCTTGGTGCTCACTCCCACCATTCTCTATCAAATGCACCCGCAACGTGCGCGCTCAGCATCTGGTGGTGTGGAGTGGGTGTGATGCTCCGAACCGGACTCCATACCCGCCACAGTGCCCCCTTGGTGCGTCGAGGCGTGGCAGAATGCAGAGTGTTGCCTGGTAAGTCTTCTTCTTTCCTACTCTTTGGACACCCGAGATAGGCACGGAAAGAATGGGCACTATGCCCAACAACAAATGTTGTCCCAAGCCAACAGCGGCCGCTGTTGGGCAGGCGGCCTTCTGTCTCGAATGGACGCAGGCCGCGGCGGCGTGGACAGCGAATCCTGTTGAAAATGAACAGGAATTGTTGTTGGGCATCGTGCCCATTCTTTCAGTACCCATTTCGGGCGTCCAAATACTCAGGGATCCCCCCCCCTACACTCGCACTCGGCCGCGTGCACCCCCCCCATCCCTCCCGAGGTCACGACGCCGTGTACAAAAAAAACTGCGCGTCCGCGACCCGAGCTTCGAAGGCAGCCCCTGTGGGCAACCAAGAGAAACAAGGTGGCCCAAGATGCCTCGAATGAAGGGGCCCTGGGACACACAAATAAATGCACACAAATGAGAGGATTCCCTATATTTTCCCATATGTTCTGGGTTTTTGTCTTCCCCCCCACTTCCCATAGTTTCCCACATTTTCCTGGGAGTGGACGATTAATTGTGTCTGTATGTGTTTTCCCCTCCTGATCGACGACGGCCCAAGGTGGCCCCAAGGCGGCCGAAAGTGACCTCGAGCCAGCCCAAGATGCTTCCGAGAGGGCCCAGAGGCGCCACAAGGTGGCCTTCAGGAGGGTCCGGAGAAGGCGAATCGTTGATTGCACCTTGGCATTTGAATGGTTCTCGCATTCTAGCCGTTTCGATCGACCCAAATTAATCCAAAATGGCCAAAAATTAATCCAAAAGGACCCTACGACCACGATGGCTCCACGATGGCCAAAAATAAATCGAAGCCTCCACGATGGCCAACAATTAATCCCAAAAGGACCCCACGACGGCCCCAGCACGGCCCAAACACGGCCCAAGGGCCTCCCGTGAGACACGAGACCGCACTAGAAGGCCTCTCCACGACCTGAAACGGCGCCCGGACGGCCCCACGACGGCCTCCAGAGACCCATATTTTCCCATAAACTCCCACATTTTCCCATATTTTCCTATAGTTTCCCATATTTTTCCCATATTGGGAGTATATTCACACAAATGAAAAGAAACCCACCCTACGGCCAAGAGACCCAGGACGGCTCGAGAGAGCCCCGAGATGGCGTCGGCGTTAAGAGGGCCCCAAGACGGCCCAGGTCCCAAGGGACCCACCAGACTGCCTCACAGGGGTGCCGGACTGCCTCACAGGAGTCCTAGAGAGCCCCAAGACGGCCCAAACGAGTCACGTGAGAGCTCCTCTAATGGTGACGCATGTGACAGCCTTCCTATTCATCCTCCTCCTCCTCCTCCTCTTCCTCCTCCTACTCGTCCTCATCTTCCTCCTCCTCCTCGTCCTCCTCCTCATCCTCCTTCTCCTCATGCTGCGCCTCCTACTCCTCCTCCTTCTCTTCATCGTCATCCTCCTCCTCGTCATCATCATCATCAGCAGCATCATCATCACCAGCATCAGCATCAGCATCAGCATCAGCATCAGCATCAGCAGCATCAGCATCAGCATCAGCATCAGCATCAGCATCAGCATCAGCATCAGCATCAGCATCAGCATAAGCATCATCATCATCAGCATCATCATCAGCAGAAGCATTATTTTAATCCTCATCCTCCTCATCACGGCTCTCCCAAGCCTGGAAACAAGCCTGGAGACACGAGGCTTCACACGCGAGCGTCTCCCGCACCCACCTGGAATTGTCCCCACCCAGAGTGCTGGGCTGGCACGGCGGCGGGACTTGTCCCAGGCAGTTGGATTGTTTTAAACAGACTGGCTTGCCGACAGTAGGGCCACATCGTGCGCGCACAAATTTCGACGGATATGCGTAGCCCCTTGCAACAGATGCCGTAATCGTCTGTTGTATGTGCTTGCTTCCTACAATGAAGGCTGGCTACAAGAAGTGGCTACCGGAAGCCGCCATGAGGAACGCAAGGCTGAACAACCACCAGAAGCTGTACCAGTGCCCCAGGGGAGCCGCAAGATGCCACATTCAGGCCCAGAATGCCTCCCCATCATCCCGCCTCAACCGACACCTGACCAAGGACGCCCCAGGAAGGTCCTAGGATACCGCATCAGGGCACACACTGCCTCCCCGTCCTCCGCCCTCCACCGCCACTGGACCCAAGAGACGCCATAACAAAACGCACGCAGCAGCATCCCGCGGACTACGAGAACGCGCCCAGCTCTGACGAGGCCTAGAACAAAGGTGATCACAGATCCCTCCTGTGACAACAGGAGCCGAGACAGAAAAAGCGGAAATGCACCTTCGGCCGTCGCTCTTCGACTACGTGCTGTGAGTCACGAAAACAAATACGGCCAGCCCCGGCTCGCCTTCTGTCGCTCGAAGAGGGGGGTGCGGAAATCGCAGCAACCTTCTACGTAGTGCGTCTGCACGTTACTGGGGAACGGCGACGTTTGTGGCGCCTGGCCTGCTACGGCACGCGACGACTACAAATGCACTCGCCTGGCTCTGTGGTCGTCATTCTTCACACTTTGTCATAACGACGCAACGACTCATTCTGCGCATGGGCCAGCTGAGCGCACAGATCCGCCCGCCTGCATGCGCAAAGGAGCGCACGATGTTTCTATCCGAGAGCGGCGGCTGAGGCTTCAGCCACCTTCTGTCCCCCCGGCAGGCTCCGCAAGTTCCGCCCTGCAAACCCAAGACGCTAGAAATGGTCAACCTAGCTCACCTTCTGACACGGCATGCCCTACGGGGTCAAGGTCACAGCGCATCGTTCGAGCCGCTTTCGGAATCCACCTTGGCCCCGTCTTGGGCTGTCATCGGCCTCCAAGAGGCTCTACAGAAGTCCCCAGACAACCACAGATGACCCCAGAGGCCTGAAAGATGGCTCGAAGATGGCCCGCACGACGGCCCCATTCGCTGTCCCCAGAGCGCAAGAACTATTTCATGTGCTCGTTTTGTAGCCCTTTCCTGCCTCCGAATGAACCACAATAGGCATCAAGATCACCCAAGACCCGCCCCTAAAAGCCCCCAGGACCCAGGAGGCTCTGAGGTCACCTAGCTCCGTGCATCGCGACCCGCGACACGCGGCGCGCGATTATCGTCACGCCATCGCGCCACCCGCCAGCCCCGTTGGAGAAGGGCAACCGCCCTGGCCTAGACCGCGACGCGCGGACCGCGATCATCTTCGCGCCCCGCGGGTGACCTAGAGTTTCAACGAAGCCTCCAAGAGGGCCCAAGATTGTCCGAAACGCCCCCAAAGACGGCGTCAGACAGTCCGGAAGCGTCCCGAGAAGCCTTCAATGCAAGCCAAGATAATCCCTCCAGTCCTGCCTTTCGGCTCGAGGGGCACTTCCTCGAAGCTGGACTCCAAGGAGATCCCATGATGACACCGCTTGGACTCGTCTCTGGGCTGTCAAGGTGTCGCGCAGCATCGAGACGGTCGAGGACGGCCTCCAAGAAACGCCGAAATAGCCCAATGTGTTTCTGGGCTCTCTGGCGGCCACTTTGGGCATGCCCATGTGCATCCAAGAAGACCTGGGATAGCCAAGACGCACACCGAGAGGACCCAAAGATTGACACGAACCGACGCCCCGACGTCTCTCTGGCGCTCTCCAGGATGTCCAAGATGCCGAGACATGTCACCAAGGCCACCTTGATGGATCAACACTGACCATGTCGCACAGAGAGCTCCTGACCAGCGACAAAGAAGTCCCTAGACGCCTGACACAGGCCCCAAGACATTCCCAAGACACTCCCCAGACGGTCAAAAACATTGATGGCGTGCTTCGTTTTCCACGCTTTTTGGTCTCTCTCAGGGCCCCAGACGGCCAAGAGGGCCCCAAGACAGCCCACGAGGATCCCAAGATGACCGGGCCGCAAGACGGCCAAAGAGGGCCTCAGGGCACCCGCAAGACTGCTCCACTAGAAAGCTCCAACACACCCAGCAAGCCCCATGAGAGTTCCTCCAGGAGTCGAGACGAGAGGTTCACGTGTGACGGTCTTCCTGGCGGTGCTCGTAGGGTGCCCACATAGAGTGCTTCGCTGACACGGTGGCGAATTCGATGCCAGAAGCTGGATCCGTTCGCCCAGTGTAGATTGTAGCATGGCTAAGTGGCCTGAGCTGTGTAGATTTTGAGATTCGGTGGTGCCTCTGGTTTTACCCTAAAATGTCAGCACTGGCATCAGCTTGACACTGAGTCTCTAAACGTGGCACCTGTAGCGGCACCAGGCACCGCAGTGAGACACCATGGGACACAGCAGGACAACCACTGTGGAGACTTGGGTTTCAGCTTCGACCAAGACAGCTGTAAGCACTAGCTTGAAAGTCAAAAAGCGCAATCGGAACACCTTCGGGAAACCGTAGACACCACAGAAGTGGACCTCACGATGTGACATCCCAGGGCACCCCGACCTGTTTCTGGCAGCAGCAGGAGAAACTCTGGTCCAAAACCAGACTAAGGTCCATCAGCACACGCGTCAAGCCTTGCGGTCACGTCGATATCGACACGAATGACAATGCATGAACACATTAGAATTCCTGACGGGGTGGCTTCACAGCATTGCTCACACCCCTACCTTTCGATTCGGGCCAAGACTCGCGAAAGAGATCTCGGGTTTCCCGATGAAAAGCGTATAACTGAACTGACACTACGGTTGCTGTCAGCTTCAGCGGACGCAAAGTCCGCTACCACCCGAGGATATCACATGAGCACCTGCAGCACTGACAAACAAGCAATCACGTGAGCTCACGATGGGACGCGCTCCCTCAACTGAATCAACAATTCCCTGGCCTCAACTGCCCCTCTCCCGCCTGCACCTGCAGGCTGGGCCTCCGGGCTTGCGAAGCACTGCCCCGAAGCGCTGTCACGCAACGGCGGGCGGGGTGAGCGATGAACTGAAATCGGCGCACACCAAGACCCAGGCATCGACGACGCAACACACACACGCAATGGCAAAAAAATGGTTGGAAAACTTGCCCGAGAGAGTACCATGGAAAACCGCCTGGAGCAATTGAAGGCCTGCTGAGCCACCCTGGGGCAACCATCTTGATGTCGCTTGTGACAAAATTGTTGAGACCCTGTAACGTCCGATGGCAGAAATGAGGCAGGAGAAGGCTGCTGATGAACATGTCTTCACGGATGAAAAACGCAATCACCAAGCTTCCGAGTGCAATGCAACACGGATGAGACAGAACAATCCGAACCTCAACGGTACTACTGAAGTGCAGCGCCTGGAACGGCCCTGGACACACTGTGCCCAAAGAAAGAAAGGGCTCAAGTGGACTCTGCGTGCCACAGCTACACAATATACCAAAAGATATTCAGATTTGCCCCACTCGGAGTGCAATAATGCGCCGCTGAACAAAAAACGATCGCAAGCGCGCGGATTCCGTGAAATGTTGCACACAAGACACACGCACGCGAACGATACGCGAGCACTCCTGGGGTAATGGCGCGAGGGGTCCACTCCAGGCGTCGCCTGGGGAAGTCCTCACTTGTTCTGCGCCACGGGGGCCGGAGGAGATGGCTGTGGTCCTGCCCAGCGGGGTCTGGGGGGATTCCAATGAGTTGCCCCCGTGGCTCCACGGGGGATTCCTGGTGGTGCCCCGGGGCTTGCCTGGGGCCCCCAGGGACTGCGCAGAGTCTTCGGAGGTTGCCCAGGATCCCCGAGGGTCGCACTTTGCACGCTGCACATGCTGCTCCAGGGTGCCCCGCGGGCCTCCCTCGCAGGGCCTGCCTTCTGGGTCCCAGGGGGGCAACCTGGCGCGCCGAGGGGTTGCCTGTCACGCTGTTTGGCATGAGCTCGCGTTAGATTGCCATTGCCTCCGCATTGCGTTCCGTGGCACGTTCCTGCAATGCCTCGCTCTGCTTTGGCATGGCTTCCGTTACGCTGACTTGCGTTGCAATTCGTTTGTTTGGTTTGCGTTGCCCTGCTTTCCGTTACAAGACAGCCATGTCCTTGTTGGGGCCGCACCGATTTGATTTCAGCGAACATGGCGCGACTCCAATTATAGAGGTCGAACCCTTTGTAAGCGAAGGATCACAAAGCACGGCAATTGAAATACAAAGTGTTTCAACCGTACAATTGCATACGATGCTATCCAACGAAGGGCAATTCGCGGAAATGCAAAACCAAATGGAGACAGCGCACAATGAAGCAAACAGCTCACATCAATGCAAATCCGCGCGTCGACTAAGAAAACGCAGCAGGAACACAGACAACAACAACAAAAATGCAAAGCGAATTATGCACTGCATTCGTAACACAGTAACGAGCAGCAACATAAACAAAATCATGCCCCAGCACCACATCGATAGCACATAGACAGCACCACGCAGATGCAACACATACACAGCACATTGACAGCACATGGACATCACCACATAGACAGCACCACGGGACGAAAGAGGTCGTCGTCGCACGCAAACGACGAAGACGACGACAACGACGACGACGACGACGACGACGATGACCCAGCCCCGCAACACGTTCGTGACTTCGGAAGTCTGAAAAAGTCAGAAGATCATCGAACCCAAATGACATGGAGGGGGAAGAGACATGAGAAAGAATAAACGGAGGAGGAGAAGGGGTGGGTTAGGAGAGAGGCGCCATGACCAGTTTTCCACAACAAAAGAGTTCGGGGCGCTGCGTTTTTGTATGTGTAAAACATTGTTGTGTGTTTTCAATGCCATCCTGTGGTGCTGGGTCCTCGCTTGGAAGAAACAACGCCCCGCGTCTCTCCTCTCCTCTCCTCTCTCCTCGTCTCCTCTCCTCCTCCCCCCCTTCTCTCCTCCAATCATCACCATCGTCATCATCATCATCATCATCCTGTTCATCATCACCATCAGCATCATCACGCTCCGCAGCCACATGGGGAGCTCCATCGAAGGTCCCAAACGGCGCAGCCCGCATGCGTCTCCCCCACCCAGTACAGCGCTCCGTGGCCCCATAGGGAGCTCCACCAAGAGGTCCCAGCGTCGCAGCCCGCATGCGTCTCCCCCACCCAGTACATCGTTTCGTGGCCCCGTAGGGAGCTTCACCGAAGGTCCCAGTGGCGCGACCCGCATGCGTCTCCCACACCCATTTCAACGCGTCGTAGCCCCATAAGGATCGCCACTTAAAGGTCCCAGTGGCGCAGAGCGCATGCGTCTCCCCGACCCAGTACAGCGCTTCGTGGCCCCATAGGGAGCTCCACCGAAGGTCCTGGGGGCGCAGCCCGCATGCGCCTCCCCCACCCATTACAATGTTTTCGGCGCAGCACGCATACGTCTCCCCCACCCACCACGGCGCTGCGTGGCCCCGTACGGAGCTCCACCGACGGTCGCAGGGGCGCAGCCCGCATGCGCCTCCCCCGCCCAATACATCGCCTCGTGGCCCCATAGGGAGCTCCACCGAAGGTCCCAGTTGCGCAGCCACACATGCGTCTCCCCCACTCAGTACAGCGCTTCGTGGCCCCATAGGGAGCTCCACAAGAGGTCCCAGCGTCGCAATCTGAATGCGTCTCCCCCACCCAGTACAAGGTTTCGCGGTCCCTAAGGGTGCTCCACCGAAGGCCCCAACGGCGCAGCCCGCATGCGTCTCCCACGCCCACTACATCGCTCCGTGGTCGCATAGGGAGCTCCACCGAAGGTCCCAGCGTCGCAGCCCGCATGCGTCTCCCCCACCCAGGACAGCGCTCCGTGCCCCTATAGGGGTCTCCACCGAAGGTCCCAGTGGCGCAGTCCGCATGCGCCCCCCCGCCCGGCTGGCCCGCGCCCGCCGCACTTGGCCCGGGCACGTCCACGCGCGCGGCGCGACGCCGAAGAGGGCCAGAGCGTCGCGACACTCCTGGTCCGAGACCTTCAACTCAATGACACCCCGCGCACCCCGCGCGCCCACGCCCGCGCGGAAATACGCCAACGCGCCCCGCAACGTACGACACACGTCTGGCACAAACGACTCCGCCAACACATCCAGCACCCCGCCCCCCTGCTGGTTCGATCACACACGCACGCGGTCAGGGACTGGACACGCCCGAGCGCACCCCCGCCGGACCACCCTGGACCCGCGCGAAGATCCAATCCTGGGGGGCGCAAGACCCGCTCAGAGCGTCGACGGCGACAGCCACCAGCAACTCCTTCTTGTCGCCGACGCTGCTCGCGCCCCAAACGCTCGTCCAGTTGTGCGCCACCCTATCGCAATACTCTGGGTTCTCCTCTGCGCCAACGTGCTCGCCCACCTTTGCCGATGCCACTGACATCGGCAAGTCTAACACTAGACGCAATTGTCTCGCCACCTTCAGGAAAAACCCAGCGCCCCGCTCCAGTCTTTCCCCCGCCAACGCGCTCTCCGACCGCGCGTTTACGACCCACTTGTCCGCGCGCAGCGCGCAGCCACCACGAACGTCCCCGAACGCATCCTTCATCCTCCTGGCCGCCTTATCCAAACTCCCATGCAGTCTCGGCGGCACCAGCGCACCCATGGCCTCTTCCACAGAGCCCATATGCAGCGGGCCCACGCTCGGCTCCGCGACACCGAACACGCGACCATCCCACCGCCACGCGCAGCCCACCGATCCGTCATCACGTCAGCGACACGGCCCCACACTTCGACCCCGTCGCCCGGGCGCTCCTGCGACAAGAGCGCATCGGCAGTCCTCAAGAGAACCCGCAACTCTTCCACCGCATCAATATCAGAGAAGTCCTCTGCGTCCCAAACCGCCAACTCCCGCGCGGCCTCACCTTCCTCGGGAGACACACAGCGCACCCTTTTCCAGTCCAGGAGCCTGTCAGCCACGGCGGCCAGCAGCCGCCGCGCGACGTCATCATTCCCCCCTCGCCATCGAAGGCCTCAGCTAACGCGGACACGCACGGCGCGCCAGCCTCACGCCAGGGCCAAGTGTCATCATCCACCACTCTGTTAAATCCCCTAAGCCCCTCCGCCTGCCCCGCACGGATGGTCTCGAGAAGGCCCAACAATCCCCCCGCCGCGCCCTTCTCCTCTGCGGTCCACAAACCAGCCCCTGGCACCCAGACTTCACGCAACGTTGACGACGCGCGCGCCTCCAGCCGCAGCTCGAACCGCCGGCGCCCCCGGAACGTTGTCGCGCGCCTGGCCCGCACGAAGTCCACGCACTCTGGCAAGTCGTCCTCGAATACCAAATCCGACGAAAGCCTGACTCGCGTCGTTGCGACGAACCCGATCACAGCGACGGCCGCGGTCTTCACCGACATGTGCTCGCAGACTTTCGCCAACGTCGTCCCCTGCGCCTGCCAGCGCGTGAGTGCCCACGGCAGCGGCAGCGGGTAGTTCTCGCGAGACGCTGTCCTCCCTCGTGGGCGACAGAATCTGCATCCAGATAGACAACCAGTTCTTGCGCACAGAATCGCTCTTGAAGAAAGACCGCGGCTCACCAAGCGAATTTTCTGCCAAGTCGACGTCGTCGAACTCGACGAAACACACACATGGGCGCCCGCAGGACGGGGCGTGCACTCTCGTGCGGATCCGCCCCCGCCTGGCCACGCGCACCCGCGCAGCGCGCCCTTCGCCCCGTTCACCAAACCCGCCTCGACCCACAAGTTCTGCGTCAGCAGCACGCGCGCCCCGTCGCAAACGTGAAGCACGTTCTCGATCCCTCGGGAACGTCAGCCGCCATCTGCTCCGGCGACAATACTCTTCCCCCTCCACGTGCCATCCATCAGCAGCGGCGCCGTCTCGAACGCTGCCAGCTCCTCCCTGCCCACCTTCGTCATCTGCAGCACGAACCTGTTCCGGCGCCTCTTCCGCGAATGCTCGGACTGGTCCCACGCGCAGTGCGCCATGCCGTTCGATGCCTCCAGAAAACGATCGGCGCCCCGCCGCTACTCCGCCTGCCGCTGGGCGGACAGACCCTACACGTTCCCACCCCATCTGTGCACGCGCCAGAGCAGGGCGACGTCCTGGAACGCATTGCGCAAGAACTGTCCCGTGGCCACCAACTTCTCCATACTCCACGCGTCGTCTGCAGCACGCTCAGGCCCCCTCGGCCTTTTCTCCCACGGCCCTCATACTTTCCCACCCGGTACAACGGATCGTGAACGATGGGTGGGGTGGCGCCTGCTGCGGATCCCCTGCCAGCACGACATCCTTCTCGCCGAGATACACTGGCTCGTCCTCCGTATTATTCCCCCTCCCCCTGCCCCTCCTCCTCCACGCGCCGCAAGCTTCGCGTAGCTGGCCGGGGCAGCCTGCACCTTGTACTCGGTCTTCCCCATCATATGCCCAAACGAGCAGACTCATCTTATCCAACACAAACAGCTTCGCCCGCTGCAACCGAGCCAGCGTCCGTAAGAAGCGCCCA